TGCAGCCGCAGCACATAACAGGTGGTGAGGAGCACAGCCCCACAGTGTGGAGAGCTGCCTCCAGCTGGTAAGTCTGTGGTAGAAGGGGAGTAGGGAGGGAAGGGGCTTGGGGGCAGGGGGGTAGATCAAGGTCTCTGCAGTGAGGGAGGCTGCAGCCCCCACACCCTGCCCGGAAGCGCTTGGCACAGCCCCGGCCCCAGACTGCCCAGCACAAATCTGGAGGGCCCCCCCCTCACCCAATGAGTGGCGGGAGCAGCAGCAGGTGACTGCTGGACAAGCCACTGGACCAGCAGCTCCCAGTTGAGTGTCACACAGGGGTGGGAGCTGCCCCCCGCACCTCTGGACAAGTTGCAGCTCCATGCTGAGCCTGCTCTGCCTCGGCTGGGCAGCACTTATCCCATCCCCTGCCCTAGCCCCACACCCTCCCTCACCACGGGGGCCTTGATCTGCCCAACTTCCCATGCCCCTTCCTCCCCTTCCACCACACTAGACTTACCAGCTGGAGGCAGCTCTCCACACTGCTGGGCTGGGTATCGGAAATCAGATCGGTATTGGCCAGTATAGCTCCTTACAAATCAGCTATCGGTATTGGCTGCAAAAATCTCTATCGGTGCACCCCTAATTACCAATGAGATGAAATTTATGATTAAATGGAACACAACAGCTGTTTGTCTTAAGGAAATTCAGATTTGGTATTTTATATTTCTGTGTGGAACAGCATTTCCCAGTGGAAAAGGGAGACTGGCTTTGGTTAAGGTGGCAGGCTATCTGCATATCTTGACATGCATTTTCAACAATTGGTGCTATTGACAGTAGATTTGTTTCATTTCTGTGAGGGAGGGACTCAGGTTTGGAGAGTACTAGTATTGAACCATAATAATTCCCCTGATGTGAAATATACCTTATTTTCAAATAGATTTAATTTCACTTTGACCAGGTTGTTTCAGATAATATTGTGAAGTTTCTCACTAATCAAAATACTCTCTGATGTCCCTGTATATATTGTATTCTCTACAGAATTATAAAACTAAACTATTAATCCATTTTTACTATGAGAGCAAATATATCCGGAATATCTCTGGCTTCTTGGAAAGGTGTTTTACTCTGCCCAAAAATGCACAGAGAGGAGACACCAAAAATTAAGGCTTTGAAGCCATTTTATAAACACCTTTAAATCAATAATAAAAGGAAAATTAACACATCTACAGGGAAATAAATGTAACCAAGCTTTGTAAAGCTAAGCAGAAATATAGCTATTAAAGTTTTGTTTGTAGTAACAGGATGTGGAAGTGACTTGCTGGTATGTGATCTTTTAATAGAAGTTTCTATACTTTTTTTTTTTTTTTTTTTAGATTTCATTTGCTAAAGCTAAAAAATAGTTTTGAAATGCACTGTATGGGAACTTTTGCTTTGGTGAGCGAGACCTAATTAGCACTATTCGAAACAGGTGGTTCAACTAAACTTATTTAAAGCAGTTAAAAAAAAATATTACCATGAATGATTGCTGTGTAGGAAATTAACATACTCGGAGATCCAGCAACAGCGAAGATTGTGGGGTTCATATTACTTTATAAATGATCCCTTGCCAGAATATCTAATACCCAACTTGTTTTACAGGAATGCAGAGGGAATGTAACCAGGGCTCATGGACAGAGGTGCTATCTTTTATTAGACCAACAAGATTTTTGTTAAAACAAGATCACCTCTATCCATGAGCCCTGATATGCTTTTTCCTCTAGACCAATACGGCTACAACCTGGATACCTGAGGGAATATAACTGCTCTGCTACCTTTAACCCCCAGCCAAGCATAGGTCCAAGACCCAGGGAAGCAGAGCCATTGCTTTTTGCCCCCTAAGGAGTCTCGTGCCAGTAACAGTGCTACATTTGCTTAGACTTACAATTCTTTCACTGCCAGAGGTTTATTTGCCCTCCTTCCACTTAGTGTGGGAAGTGTATATATACAAAAACTAGAACTGTTGGTTCCATAATGATACCTTTTTATTAGACCAACTGGGAAATTACAAGAAAATTGTCCTTTTCTGCAAGTTTTCAGGTTCAAAGTCCCTTCATCAGGCTCTGGGAAAAGTATAGATGGTACAAGATGGTAAAAAGGCCCCATAGGTAGGAAATAAACTTCATTTTTGCACAGAGGGAGCTGAAGATGGAAGGCTGTTCCTTTTGTATGTCATTTTTGTATGTGTTCTTGTCTCAGACCAACATGGCTACCAAGAACTAAGAGTTCTGGTTTTTTGTATGTCTTCTTGCGTCAGACAAACACAGCTACCAAGTACACCCTTGAAACATGGAAGTTTATATAAGTATTCACAGTCACTTCACAAGCTGTAGATTTTGTAACTCATCCTTTCTGCTTTTGCTATTGTTATTACATTATGTCTGGTAGTATAGTCAAAGGTTGGAATAGTGACCACTGCCATGGTCCTTCATTCTTTGGCTACAACCTGTCAGAGGTATTATTCCTCTGCTTTTCTAAAGTAGACAGTGACCTACATGCAAAAAGGAAGACTGAGTCGTCTCTCCAGTTCCAGACCCATTAAAGAGAGTACTTTGTTTAGAAGGTCTTGCCTAGACCCTCCATCACAAAACGAATATCGCTGGATAAAACTGTTTTATCAGTAGGCATAAACAAAAGTATGTTTTACTATCTGTTGCAGTAGGCTGTAGCCTACAAAATCTCGTGCCTTTGTAAACAAATTAGTCTGCTCTGTAAGGTACCACCCTAATTGCCTCCTGCCTAACTTCAGAATAATGTGGCTGATTATCTCTACAAAAGTGTTTGTTTAAATTTGGTGTAGTCGAACTTCTTAGAATTAGTGCACAGCTTATGTGCTGTAGTGTTGAAACCAGTTCCACTTAGTTGTTGAGGTATGACAGGTAAAGTGTGAGGAAAGTTGACTCCGTTACCTTGAAAAATCAAAGCTTGCAGATAACGTATTCTGAGCATACATGGGCCATCATATGGGGCAACATCTTACCTAGTCTGGTTTCTCCTTCTGTTTCCCTCAAATTCTGACTAATATCCATTTCTAAATTTTAAAACACATTAAAAATCCCAGAGTTTGAAATAAAATGTAGCTTTTGAAATTGCCTGTGTAATATTTCCAGTTTTAAATTTGAGTAATCTCATGGGGAATAAGTGTCAGATTGAGACATTTGTTTTGCTGGTGTCTCATTTTAGTAGTAAAATGAGTATATCTGAGGGAGTACCATGTAAATAAAAATAAAAACCATTTCTGGTTTGGGGTGAAGACATATATATGGGAGGAAACTGAAGTTTTGAACACAGAATGGAGAGCCATACAGAAATATACAGTTTTAGATTAAATCTAAGAGGTAACATTTCAACACAGTATAAACTTTCCGCATGGTGTACAGGATCCCACTGTGTAACTTCTGATAATGCTGATGGGAATTGTGAATTTAAATCCATGCATGCCATACTGAGAAATCTTATTTTAATTGTAACATTATGTTTTCTCTTAAATATTTTTGCCTGTATTTTATAGTTCCCTTCCCCCCAGCTCTCAAATAACCTACCTGTAGGATAATACGGGAATGTACAATTTATTTCTCTAGCACAAAACCATTCATTACTTTCCTTGGTTTGTCACAGTCCCTGTTTTTATTCCAGAATGCCTAAAATCCCAGTGGGCATGACATTGATCCATTTTATTTAAGCAAACAGGGTAGATTTGTTTGTAGAATTTCCTATAGGGAATTATTTTAGCCATATTTATTGCTTCAGTTATGATGATAATACAGGAGTGAAACTCCTTTTGTTGTTTAAGCGCAGGGCTGTTTTTTTTCTTTCCTTTTTCTTGATGCGGTTATGAAATGCAAATGTAGGACATCCAATACAAGATAAATCCCTTTTCTCCAGTAAAACAAATCCTCTTTCATCCATTTTACAACTTGTAAATTAGAGTTTCATGCTGAAATGATTCAAATTTATCTGATTCTTTGCTTTTCTTTTCACTGTGCAGTTGAAATGAATTCAGGACAGAAAAGGTTTTGACTGGGATGGTGTTACTATTTTGTATTCAAGATTTTATCCAGAACGGTAAAATTAATACAAACATCCCTCTATTATTTTGAATGTCAAAGATTGGTTGGCCTTTTAGTGAAATCTGTGTAGGTTACTGGTTTAAGTATTTATCACTGAATAAATAAAATCGTTTAAATATTTATTGCCCAGTGGGAGAAAACTACAGACATGGTGCAGAAAATTCTTCTTTTCCCCTTTGTGTATTGCTTCTGCACGGTACTCTGGAACTGCCATTGCCAGATGTGGACATGCTTCTTTTGAAAATAACAGTATCACTATTATACACAAGGCCCTGGATTATTTGCTTCCCCACTAGAAGAACATTGTGTGTGGGCGGATTATTGGCATTTCAAGGTCTGTGCAGAGTCTGGGAAGCCAGCGCCTACTGTAAACAGAGCAATAGAAGAGTGGAAGCAGGGAGGGGCCTACATCTCTCTGATTATTTTAAGAAGACACGTTCCAAGAAATTCTGAACTCAGATGTAGTGCAGCAGACTTAAATGAGGTTAGCTCTTTTTCAGAGTGTGTGCTCACTAATTAAAAATAAATATAAAAACTAGTACAGTGGGTAGGTGGTGTATAGTACAGTTTCGTAGCCTACCATATCAGTTGAAGGGCAACTAGAAAAAAAACAAATAGCTCCTTCAGAATTTAACTTTTGGTAGTACCTTTTCATAATGCGATCAGAGAAGGAACTTACTGAAAGCTGTGCCTCTGTGTGTATTTTAGGATCTTCTTTACTGCAGTCATACGTACGATGGTCGTAGGAATAACTGTAGTCATTACTATATTTGCTTTGGAATGCCTCCTTTCCCCTTACCAGCAACATGAAGTTGTAGTTTGAGCCGTATTTAAGGCAAATGTTTGAAAAGATAAGTATGTATGAGGTTATTTTGGATGAAGTCAGTTCATTGCTGCTCTGTGGTTCATTTCCAGGTCCTTCAGCAGCTTTTAAATCACTTCAGAAAAAACAGGGATAAAGTTCTTCTCTTCTCCTTTTCAACCAAGGTGAGCTCCATATGATTCACATCATAATTGACCTCAGCAATAAGTCCTGAGGCCTAAACTCTAGAGACATCAACAGCTGTCAGCCACATTTTCTTTCTCACATATAGTATGGGAAATGGTGTTGATAAGGACAGTGTGCAGTAGTAAAGAAAACATGTTGTAACCTTATGTTATCTCAAGGCTGGTGGAAAGGACAAAACAATTGTAGTGTTCTTTGTTCCTTGGGACTTTTTTTTTACTACATTACCCTGTTGGACTATCTATGGTTGAGTTAACACCGTGTCAGTTAGCATAGTATGAATAAGAACCAGTGCACTGCAAAATGACATTGAAGTAGGGTGTTTGTATTAGCACAGAGTAGTTGAGTGACTTCCACTTCACTAGTTTGAAAATCAGTGGCGTTAGAGCTTCAGCCCATGGCCCCTGATGTGCCAGGTAGCTTGAGTAGAAAGCATTGTTTAATTTGTGCTAAGGGAGAAAAGAGGAGAGAGAGCTTCGGGGTGGGATTGGGAGGGAGGCGTATGTACGTGTGTGTACTTATAGGAGTCATGTTAGGGGCAACACACAAAGATAAGCCCCATATGCCATATTCTTGGGAGTGATGTGCTTTGTAAAATGATGCAAACTATAATGCAGGATTATCTAACTAAATGTTTAGTTTACCTCTATAAAATGTCTCTATTTTTAAAAAAATAATGTAAATGACAGTTCAAGATCTTTAATGGTTTTGTTGCTTTAAGTAAAACTAGAGAAGTCACATTTATATGCACCAATATAACACTAAGTATTTCTGACAATACAGAGGAAAGGTAGAAAAAATGCTCATTCTCATAATTATTGGTTGATGGATTACTTTAAGTTATATTCAGGAAATCTGATTCCTAAAGTTGTCTTTTGTGTTTACTTTAGAAGGTACTAATAATAGCCTGATCTTCCCATCTCTTTATCAGTTGCTAGATGTGCTGGAGCGATACTGTATGGCATCTGGGCTAGATTACCGAAGACTTGATGGAAATACAAAATCGGAGGACCGGGTTAAGATAGTAAGAGAGTTCAACAGCATGCAAGATATTAATATTTGCCTTGTCTCTACAATGTAAGAAAATTTCATTTTTATTTTGTCTGGCCTTACTAGATATTTAGAAAAAAAGTAAAGTTTTGCTTTTCTTGTTTCCTTTTTCTTTTTTAGAGGAATAATGGCATTACAGTCAGCTTTTACATTAGTCATCAACTATATACAGCTAAGTTTAGGGCTCTTACTCTTATAGTGCTTTTTTTCTATGCACACTACTCCACTCTTTTCTTCTATAGGATCACTGAGAACTGAAACTGGTGAGTGTTAATTTTAAATCCCGATCTAGCCAAAACAGTGAAAATTGATAAACAGTTGCTGATGTAATCTAGTGGCACACTAAATTATTTTTCTGTTCTGCTATAGACCCAAAGGCAAACTTTCAGAAATGACTGTTTGTGCGAAACCTGCAATTGTATGGGAATTTATTTTGGGTGTAGCTTGTTGAATATACTTTTATTACAGAAAAAAAATCCACCTTTATATCTGTGCAATTTATGAGCCAACTTCATTGAAATATGACCCCTTTAAAGTACTTACCTCTAACGAGTTATAGATGTCTTGCAAACCTTTTTTTCATTAAGTTGTATACCAGAAAGGTTGACGCATTTAATTTATGGTCAATAGTGAGCTCATTGGAATAGGTCAGTGTGATGTAGGTATCGAGCCAAAAATAATGAAAATAGTAAACTGACCATTCTTGGCTTTCTGTCTTAGTTACACAGCCTTTATCTCTTACCTTGGCTAGCTACTGCTGCCAGGCATTGATGGAAGAGGAGCAGAGACTAGCCCTAACTCTTTGGCTGGGACAAGACTCCATGTAGTATGCAGCCAGTATAACTGTTGCCAATATTATCTTTTCCTCATTTTCTGACACAGCATGAGTGTTGGGAGCAAGAAGGGGAAGACCCCATGCCATCATAAGTTCTCGTTGTCAGACAGCTGTGGTCAGCCAGTTCCTTGGAGACTGTTGCCAGCTAGCATGTATTTGAACTGCCTTCATACTGCTCTGAAGTGCATCTGGACTGGGATATGAGTAGAGAGAATCCAATAGCTAGTGACACACTTATTTGCTGAGTATAACCAACAGGAGTTGAAGAATCTGGCTGCCAGCTTTGGTGAGACTTCTTAAAAAGAAAGATTAGCAGGTTTTGGCCCTTGTAGATAAACAGAAAATAAATATGGAAACAAACTGCTACAGTAGTTAATCTAAGAGTTAGTGTCTGCACTGTTACAAAAGGCTTTCTATTTATAATATTTTATCAGGCATATTTGTCCTATATACTTTTAAGTTTTACTTCATCCTCATTGCTTCTTAAATCCTGTCTTATGAAATAGATTCTATTTCTGCTTAAGTGAATTCTTTATCAACAGTTGCCTCTCTCTTAAGGTTCTCAGAAGGGCCAGTGGTGAGCAGGCAGTGCCTAACAGTATTGCTTCAGTCCAACCCCTTCAATCACTGATGAGTCTCTTTAGGTTCAGGTGTATTTAAGGTTTCTTATTTCACTGGTTAAAAGACCCCAACATATACAATGCAATAATAAGCAGACTAATATATGTGCCTAAGAAACAAATACAGCATTCTACAGTATTTAGAAATGTACGTACTGTATAAAAATGAATATGTCAAGCAAACAGAAACAAAGCAATAGAGGAAGCTAAAATAGTCTTTTGTAATCTTTTGGAAATTTAAAGGTGCTATCTTTCAGTCCTATTCTTCAAGAGAGTCTTGTCTTCTCTAAATCAGACTCCAGGCACATCACACCAAAATCCTTTGTGCAGTCATCTGTCTGATGAAACTTTTCAGTACTTTCTTTATTTCTAAGCACATAGTAAGTTGACAGAATTGGGTCAGTATTCTTCTGTTCATAGTTTCTTGCAGATTTGTTTAGCCTATTGCTCTATACAGTCAACTTGCATGTCTTTTCAAAGTCCCAGCGTTCAAGGAGTGAAACATTAATTTCCATTAAATCTGATTGTACTTTCCTTTGGCTGCAAAAATGCGTTTAGCAGTGGATGGCCTCTTGGTAGAGTGATTTTGATTTGGTTATTTTATTCCACTGTGACAGTCTATGTACAACTTTTAAACAAGAAGTAACAACCTATAAAATTAAGGAATTAAAAGCAAACAATAATAATTTGTTGTTAGACTTGTAAGTTTCTCTTAGGTTGTGGGGAAATAGGTTCTTTCTGTTTTGAATTTTTTTCTGCATTGTCTTTAGATGAATATTTTTAGAAACATAATGTCTATAAGATTTTTTGAAAAAAATGGGAATTTTTAAATGTTTTTCATCTAATAGAATTGTATATGGAAACTAAGAACTACCTGATCTTATAACTTTACATTTATTTTAGAACACAATCATGTTGATAACGTGACTTTTTCACAAGACTGTCAGGGATGATCCCTGCAAACTGTAAATTTACTGAATCCACTTTCTGTAAATGAAGGCTTTCACAGTATATGTGGCTGAAGACGTACGTGTGGCTGAAGTCACAAAAAGGATAGGCCTGTATGGCAGAACGTGCTGCTCTGGAGAGATACCTGAACTAGCTCAGAAACCAAAAGTAGGACAGCAATGGTAGCACAGTGTGCTGCTCAATTTGATGTCTCCTGCTTTTTCAGCGAGGCTGATTTTAGCTTGTGCAGAATGCTGCAACAATGAGTGTGTACACATGTCTAAGTTGATTTAAAATAAGGCGACTTAACTAAATTGACTTATGTAAGTTGATTTAAGTTAAGCCACATGACAGCCATCAGTATGTATTTTAAGTCTTAGACCAGGGTTGGGCAAAATGCAACCTGTGGGCAAAACCCAGCCTGCCAGGCAATTTCATCCAGCCTGCAGGGCACCTCTGTAAGCCCTGACCTTGGGCTGTGGCTCTGGTTGCTAAGCAACCACCCTCCTACCCCATCATGCCCTGATCTGCCCCAGCCTGAGGTAGGGGGTGCTAGAGACAAGAAGCGTCTGCCTGGCAGGGGCTTTTGCTTGTGACCCTGTGGCTTTATCCAGCCCTCTCTGCCTGCACACCTAGAAATGCAGGTAAAGGCCACACTGGGCTGGGACAGGGGCTCCTGCTGGCAGAAGGGTGGCAGGAGTGTGGGGAGCTGTTGCACTATGGGGCCAGGCTGGGCTGGCCCTGCACACTGCAGCAGCACAGGAGCTGTGAGCTGTGGGGCCTGGTGGGGCAGGCCTCACACGCTGCCACCATTTGCAGCCGGGGACTGAGGTGGGAGTGCAGGAGCTGTGCGCTGGCCCTGCACACTGCCACCACGTGCGGCCAGGGACTTGGGCAGGAGCACTGTGGGGCTGGCCCCACAAGTTGCCAACATGTGCAACCAGGGACTTGGGCAGGAGCTGGGTGTTATGGCACCAGGTGGAGCTGGCCCTGCACCCTGCCGTCACCTGCAGCTTTAGGGACTCGCTCACTCCAGGGACTCTGAGGATTCCCTCCCACCACATACACCCTCCCACACACACACACACTCCCACCCCACCACCCCAGCCATAACCTGCACCCTTTCACACCCACCGCCTTCACCGTAGCCACACCCAACACACCCAATATACAAGAATAAGACTGTATTTTGAACTATTATGCAATCAGCTCTAGATACAGTATGCAAACGCACATAAATCAGGACAAAAATATTTTTAAAAATAAAAGTAAATAAGTTATAGTGCAAGTTTGACTTTTTTCTTTTTTGTACATGATTTTTTTTTTTCCAGTTTCAAAATGGCAACTCCCCCAAAGGCGTACTTCTGGAGCAAGGGGAGGGACTGCAGGTGGCAAGGTCAGGGGTTAGGGGCAGGACTTTTGGATCCCAAGATGGCAACCAGGGAGTGGAGCACCTGTCAAGGGGCAGGGCTACCCTTGCGGCCCTCGACAGCTCACCAAAACTCATTAAGCGCCCCTTCAGCTGAAATAATTGCCCACCCCTGTCGTAGACTAATGCGACCCATGATAATACACCTTGGAAGTGTATTATCTTGTGCTGCATTTAAGTTGACTCTGCTCGCGTATGTGTGCACATTCTGACAGTTAAGTCGACTTAAAAAAATTAAGTTGGCTTAACTGTCAGAAAGTTAGTAGATGTGTTTGCACCCAATGTGATTATATTACTTCTGGTACTTGAGCTGATACCTTGACTCTGTATTGTGCCTTGTAGACATACCCATAATAGCTGTAACCTGTCTGTTGGAACATCTCAACCTTTTGTCAAATATCTGTTTTATAGCACAGTAAAACTGCGCTGACAGTGCTGGAAGAACTTTTAACGCTATAGACGTGGTTTGCCATGCTTAGAAAACTTGAAACTCTGGCAACTTGTCAATCTTATGAAGAGCAAAGCTGTGATTTGCTGGAATTACAGATTCAGATGGTAGAGCATTCAGAGTTTGTAACTCCATTGGTACAGTTCTTTCTCATTCATTCAGTAAAAGATATTACCATAAAAATCTAAGGGAAACTGATAGGGAAGAAAGAAAGAAAATACTGATGTTTTGCCCTTGAAGTAATGGGATTTGCTCAGATCAAATTGGCTTATAGGATTTGTGCTGTAATTGTACATGCCAGGGCTTTCCAACTTCTGAGCGGCCAGGGGCTAAATCCCCCAGCCACACACCACCACATATGTGCCATGCCACATGATGCATGCTACCAAGTACCTCCCTACTATCTCCATGGACTCATGCCATGCCATGCCATGTGTCCATCAAGCTACACAGCAAGTTCCCCCACCACATGCTGCATTGTGCCAGCATCCCTGCACTCTGCACACCATGCCTTGTTCTCTCCCTCTACTGTGCGATGGGTATGCTTACTCTCCTGCTGTACCATGCTGGTACACTGCATGGGGTTCTTTGGCCACAGACTCCCTCAGCCCTGCACACAGTGCTGCCCCACCCTACCCTGCCTCCAGGGGTGGGGACATGTAGTTAAAACAGGAGGAGGGAGTGGGAGCCTGGAGACAACAGTAGAAAGCCACTGCAGAGGTGGAGGAGTGGTGACGGGAACGGACT